CTGGTTGGGGGTGGTGCGGGTGCAACACCGAGGGTTGCGATCCCGTTACCGGTCATGAAAAAAGACAAAAAGGAAAAAAAAAAAAAGAATTAATGATACATGGCTATTTTTCAGGCCGGCTGGTGGCGCACTGCTACAGTGCGCCGTTTGGGAGTGCAGCGGCGCTCCCAACGAGGGTTCAAAAATGTGCTGCAAATTCTTGTCTCTTACTTTGTCTTCCGCTAACATGTTCCGGGAAGTTTTGTATCCAACACTGTACTTTTTTTTTTTTTTTTGGCTGCTGGCCAGTACGGCAGCACTGTACTTTTCACTGCAGTAACTGCACTTTGACCTTGGTCTGTGATGGCAGTACATCTGCTACATTATGAAATTTAGCTCCTGTGCATGTTTATTTAAACATAAGAACTCAGAAACTCAAACGACTAATAACGTTGTTCACTTAACTGTTTGGGTTTTTATAACTAGACACTTCAGAACCTAAAGAATATATTTCTTTCTTTCTTTCTTTCTTTCTTTTTTTAAAGATGACCAGTAAGGGGATCTTAACCCTTGACTTGGTGGTGTCAGCACCACGCTCTCCAAGCGAGCAAACCAGCCATCCCTATATAGGGGTCTGAACCTGTGGCCTTGGTGTTATCAGCACCACACTCTCCCGAGTGAGCCACGGGCTGGCNCGGTACGGGCGCGACACTGAGGGTTGCGATCCCGTTACCGGTCATGAAAAAAGACAAAAAGGAAAAAAAAAGAATTAATGATACATGGCTATTTTTCAGGCCGGCCTGGTGGCGCAGTGCTACAGTGCGCCGTTTGGGAGTGCAGCGGCGCTCCCGCCGAGGGTTCGGATCCCACATACAGACCAGCGGCTCACTGGCTGAGCGAGGTGGGGGTGCAACACCGAGGGTTGTGATCCCATTGCTGGCCCCGGTCCGGTACGGGCGCGACACTGAGGGTTGCGATCCGTTGCCGGTCACGAAAAAACAAAAAGGACAAAAAAAAAAAAGAATGTTTCACTTCATTAGATTTAGACTTTATCATTTCTAATTTATCATAGAACAGTAAGGCTGGAGTGCACTTTAGAGACCATGGAAACCATCTTATTTCTTCTAGAAGAAGAAACAGAGGCCCACCTTTGGAAACTACTTCATTAGTGGTGGAACCATTTTCTGTTTCTTAGCTATAATTGTTAGGTTTGGCCCATCCTGATACTTGTCAGATTTTGTAGTTTTTTGATTCTTATCTAATTGCCAAAGTAGCAAATACTATTTTAATATTTTCATATAGATACATTTTGGGAGGTTTCTGTTGACCTCTTCAAAAGAATTGCTACATTTTATGGCAGGGAAGTGGCAGAGGTTTTTGGCAAACCACAGATTAAGGAGATTCTTCTTTTTTCAGTGGTTTAGGTGTTCTGTTCTCCCTCCTGAGTATAATTTATAAACCGAAAGCTTTTAAGTGTTTGTCCCATAGACCTAAATATTTGCCACAAGGAGTCAGTATTGGTTACAAGTGGTGTCAGCTCTTTCTGTGCGACCTTGGATATGTTACTTAATCTTATTAAGCCTCAGTTGCCTCATCTCTAAAATCAGCATAATATTTGGGGTAGTTGTGAGGTTTAAGTGAGATAATGTAAGTCTTAGCACCTTGCCTGGCACAAATGCTTTGTTATAGTGTATTTCATTTTTGCATACTATAGGTTGGGATTTGTTACCAGTATGAGACTGAAGAGATTTTATGAGATTGAAAGTAAAAAAGAGTTAAGGTTCTTGGATGAGGCTATCCAAGTTAAATGAGAGTATATTGAAGAAGTCTGAAGGGGTTGCTTCAAATTTGCTCTGTTTAAGTAGCAACCCAAATTCCTTATTTGGTTCATGAAGAAGCCTCGAAGTTGAAACATAATTTTTTCTCAGTAACTCCTATGATTAAATGTTTTAACTAATGGTTGGGTTCTCTGGTCAGCTCTTAAAACAAATGAAATCCTGGCTCCTACAGCTTTACCCTGCAAACTGGGAAGACCTGGATGGGTGGGAGGAGCTTTCTCTTCTTGGTGCAGTGCTCAATTTAAGCAGCACTTCCTATTACCTTCCAACCTTCTTTTCTGCACCACTCCCACATTTCCAGGTTCTGAACTTTAGGCCCTCAAGGTCCAAGGCTGGTCTTAAGCCTTGGACCGTCAACAGTCTTAGTAACCCAGCAGTTGAACTTGTTAACATGCCCTTCACAATATTTGCTGCCATCCCTCATTCCTAGAATTACCACCATCAAAATGTCCATCCTTTGGGCCGTGTCCGAGCTGATTAGTTATTAAATGGAAAGTCATCTGACTTAATTTAAACCCAAGGGATTAATAGCCCCTTGTTTTTTAAAATATATTTACTTTTTAATTTTTATTTTAAATAGAGCGTTTAACCGAATGCCAAAAAGCAGTGTTAGAAATAGCTTGTTTGAGGCCGGCCTGTGGCTCACTCGGTAGAGTGCGGTGCTGATAACACCAAGGCCACGGGTTCGGATCCCATATAGGGATGGCCGGTTTGCTCACTGGCTGAGCGTGGTGCTGACAACACCAAGCCAAGGGTTGAGATCCCCTTACCGGTCATCTTTTAAAAAAAAAAAGAAATAGCTTGTTCGAAATGTCCCTGTTTTTCACAACAGCTTCCCTTTTCCTACTCTGGAACCTTCAGGTTTTATAAAAGCACTGAGTAATTGTTTTCCAGCATAGTTGGCCTTACAAGCCTCAAAGCTATGTGGAAATGCTGTATAGTTATCCCTTGGTATCTGTGGGGGATCAGTTCCAGGACCTCCCTCAGATACCAAATCTGTGCATGGTCAAGTTCCTGATATAAAATGGTGTAGTATTTGCATACAGCATATGTATATCCTCTGTTATGCTTTAAGTTACCTCTAGATTACTTATAATAGCTAATACAATGTAAATGCTGTGTAAATAGTTGTTATACTGTATAGTTTAGGGAATAATGACAAGAAAAAAGTGTACGTGTTCAATATAGGTGCAATTTTAAAATATACATGTTTGATCCATGATTGGTTGAATCCACAAATGTGGATCCCACAGATGTGGAAGGCCGACACTACTTAAGTGGGATGGTGTGTGTATGGAAAGGATGCCTATATATATTACAAAAAAAAAAAAAAATGCTAAGCTTATGGGGGACATGTCTATAGCTAAGAGAATAGAGTCTGCCCAACCCATTACTAGAATTAGGAATAAAATTTAAACCATTTGTGGAAGAGTTTGTTTTCACCCTCCTTGAAGAGAGGTATGTTCCCAGTGCATGCTTGGTATTCTAAACAGTTGTTTTAATAAAAAATTTTTTCAGATTCAACCAGTCTATAATTTGGTTTACAGAAGAGAGGTGATCAAATCATTGAAGATGATGATCTCCTTGACTTGGATTTGCAGTTGCTGGTCATCTTTTTCAGTTAGAAAACAAAGCTGGCACTTATCTAGTTAAATTCATGCTCAGCAGTAAGCAAAAGGAATTGATTATTATTATTATTATTATTTATTTTTTTTTTTTTTAAAAGATGACCGGTAAGGGGATCTTAACCCTTTTTTTTTTTGTCTTTTGTCTTTTTCCGTGTCTGGCAACGGATCGCAACCCTCAGTGTTG